ACCGAGTGTCTGCCAATAACAATAGATAGAATTAAAAAGAAGAGAATGATCCAACATGGGAAGCAGGCCACACAGCAGACTCATAGAATGACAAATTCCCTAAATAGCACTCTGGCCTCAGAATCAGCCCTTAAGGCATTCGGATCTGGCTAAAAATTCCTTGAGAGCAGTTCAGGCATGGAAAGCCAAGATACTGTGGCAAAAAATGACCTAAATGAAAGATCTCTGTGAGTGAGATCCCAGCAGAAAGAAGGGACCATCAAAGAAGGAGGTACCTTTCTCTGAAGGGGAGAGAAAACTTCCACTTTGATTACGGCCCTAAATAGTGTCAGAGTTTGTGGACTCAAGAGGCTTCCATAGCCTTGGCAGCTCATGACAAGAGCCTTGGGTGATTACTGACGTCATAAATAAGAGTGTCAATTGTTAAATCAACAACAAGAGTCACTGTGCACTTACTCCCCATGTAGGACCTCTGTCCTTAATGTGTTATACTATGAGAATTAACAGTAAAACTAGTTTTCAAGCAGTACTTTATACTTTGTGTGTCTGTGTGGGTGCAAACTGTTGAAATCTTTACTTGGTACAGAGTTGATCTTCTGTATAAAAAGATAATTAAAAATGAATCTTAATGAAGAAAGGGATGAGAGAGGGAGTAGAAGGTGGGATGGTTTGGGGATGGGAGTGTGGTTATGGGGGGAAGAACTGCTATAATGCAAAAGTTGTATTTATGAAATTTATATTTAGTAAATAAAAGCTTTCTATTAAAAAGTCTCTAAGTCCCTAATTGTCATGAAATCCTTTATTTGAAATGCTGAAGTTCCTAAAACCTACTGTAAAGGTTGTATGTAAGGGTTGGCATTGTGGTGTATCAGAAAAAGCCTCTACCTGCTATGCCAGCATCCCATATGGGCACCAGTTTGTGTCCTGGCTGTTCCACTTCAGATCCAGCTCCCAGCTAGTGGCCTAGAAAAAGCAGCAGAAGATGGCCCAAGTGTTTGAACCCCTGCCACCTACATGGAAGACCTGGATGAGGCTCCTGGCTTCAGAGTGGCCCAGCCCTGGCCATTGTAGGCATATAGGGAATGAACCAGCAGATGGAAGCTCACTCTCTCTCTCCCCTTCCTCACTCTGATTCTCGAATAAATAAATAAATATATATATAAAGACTTTACAGATGTGGAAACATTTTCCACTTGTCACAGATCTTAGTAGTCTGATGATAGAAATAGAAAATATAGATGCAGCATTAGAAATATTTCTGAATTACCAGGAGACACATTTCTTTCTGTAGAATGCCAATACAATACCCCAGAAAACAGGTGGACAGCTTTCATAATCATACAGGAGTAAACTCAAGACATAATGTGATAAACATAGGGAAAGCCATTCAAATATAAGAAGAAAAATTCGTGAAAGATAAATGGTCCCACGATAAGTTATATGTTATTTCTCCAGGACACCTGAACACAGAAAGGTCTACAGCAGCCACTTTGCAAGGAGAAGCTGCCGCCTACCATGAAGCTTTGCCTGCCACTCTACAATGGGGCAGTTCCACAGACTGCACACAGAGAGAGTCTTTTCATCGGGGACTGCAGAGAAGGAAGAAAAACTTTGGGATTTCACATCAAGATGTCTCATGAAAGGGATTCAAGTGCAAAATTCAAACAGGGCACAACGGATGGTTGTTTTGGCGATCGTGGGAATATTGTGCAATGGAAGAAAAAGAAGACAAGAACAGATGGATGCCACGAAAATCAGACAAAGCCTGCTTTGTGGATGATGGATAATCCAAGTGACCACCATGGGCTTTGGAAACAATGTAAAATCCAAGACGGAAAGGTGAACTGTGCTGTGGACCGCTGTCATGTACTCTTCAAATGTTTCCGTGTTCGGGTTCTTAAATCATATCTGCCAGCATTTCAATAGACCCGAAGCAAACTGAGTGGCCCGTGAAATCTGCTTTCTTCAGGAAAGGCATTGGCAGAACTCAAAGACAAGGGGAAAACTCAACAAGGAGCAGAGCTGCCTGTCAATCTTCCTTCCTGCAGCGTGCAGGAAGCTGCATGCAGCCCCAAGCCCTGGAGGTTAAGGTTCAAGGATGCAGAGACAGCAGAGGTCACTCTCTTGGGGCTGGACTCCGCCCACTCTTAGGGGCTGGACTCCGCCCACTTCTTGAGGAAGTCAATGAATGGATGTGTTTGCAAACTGTGTTACTCCAAACTTGTTTAAAAAGTAAATGGAGATGAGAAAATAACAGAAGAAAAATCACTTAAAAGTATTTCACTGTGGTTTGTAGTTACAAAAAAAAAAAAAAGCTCTAGTTGTTGCTTAAAACCCTGGTTTTTTGAAAGGTAAGTGGCATGTTGATTATGGTGTGAGTCTAGAGATGAAATCACAGAACGGATTGCAGGAGGCATTTGGTTTGGTGGCTAAGAAACCGTTTGACACAACTGCATCCCACACTGGTGCATTTGGCTCTGATAACAGCCTCGGACCCCTGACTCCAGCTCTCTGCTCATGATGACCTTGGAGGGTGCAGGTGATGGCTTAAACATACGGGTTCTTGGGAGTCTGCATTGTGGTGTAGTGCCTCAGTGCCTTTCGGTGCCGGCATCCCGTATGAGCACTGGTTCGCGTCTCCACTGCTCCACTTGCAATCGCCCTGCCAACGAGCCTGGGAAAGTAGAGGAGGCCCTGGTGCCCACATGGGACACCCAAATGGAGTTCCAGGCTCCTCACTTTGGCCAAGCCAGCCCATCGCAGCCATTTCTGGAGTGAACCAGCAGATGAAAGATCACTCTTTTAAAAAGAAATTATCTATTTTGAGAGGCAGTGAGAGAGGCTTTCATCCACTGGTTCACTTTCCAAATGTCTGCAACAGCCAGGGCTAGGCCAGGCTGAAGCCAGGATTCAGGAGCTCCATCCAGGTCTCCCAGGCAGGTGCAGGGGCCCAAGGACTTGGGCCATCTTCACTGCTTTCCCAGGCCACAGCAGAGAGCTGGATCAGAAGTGGAGCAGCCAGGTCTGGAACTGGGATGTCAGTGTCGCAGGCAGAGGACTGACCCTCTATGTCACATCAGCCCTGGAAGAGTTCTCTGTTTTTAAAATGTATTTAAAATAAATAAATATGTGTGGGAAAAAAATGGGTTCCTGCCACCCACATGGGAGCTCTGGATTGAGTTTATAGCTCTGGCCCCAGTTTAGTTTTAGGATGCTATAGGCATTTGGGTAGTAAGGCAGCAGACAGAATTCTCTCTCTCTCAAATAAATAAATAAATAAATAAATAACTCAAAATATTCTTTTTTAAAAAAGGGCAGATCAATAGGAGGTATTGTAGGTTCAGGTAATAGACTATATTCTGGCTCATAGTCCCAAGACCTGTCCTTTAGAAATATTCATTGATGAGTAAGTGAAATGTTAAGCATTCAGTTGTCAAGCAATTCAAATCACATAGATAGATCAGAATTCCTGATGAATGAAGAGGAGACCAGCAGATAGTCCTGGGCAATAAATCTATGTACAGCTGACAGTAACTGTAATATCATGTGTGAGAGGCACTGTGTCAGGCAAGAACAGAGAAGGAAAGCCTTATGGGACTTCCAGAAGAAAGCATTTCAGGGGCCAGCACTGTGGCTTAGTGGGTAAAGCCACCGCCTGCAGCTCCAGCATCCCATATGGGCACCAGTTTGAGTCCCGGCTGCTCCACTTCCAGTCCAGCTCTCTGCTATGGCCTGGGAAAGCAGTAGAGGACGGCCCAAGTCTTTGGGCCCCTGCATCTGTGTGGAAGACCCAGAAGAAGCTCCTGGCTCCTGGCTTCAGATCAGCACAGCTCCAGCCTTTGTGGCCAATAGGGGAGTGAGCCAGCAGATTGGAGATATCTCTCTCTCTAGCTCTCCTTCTCTCTGTGTAACTCTTTCAAATAAATAAATAAACGTTAAAAAAAAATCGATGAGCTGCGTTAATGCAATTAACGCATTGCATTAGCTGCAATGTAAGTGAAGGAAAAAGTGGGCCAAGAATTGAACACTGAAATTTAGAAATCGTTGGACAATGGATGGAGATAATCTGTCCCAGCTATTCTGGAAAGAGAAAACTGCAGCTCCTGAGAATTAAATAAATTGGATACTCAAAGTCACACAGCCAATTAGGAATAGAATTGGGTCGAGAGCCAAACATTGAGCACGGACCCTCTGAAGTTAGTCCCACACCATGATACTCATTCATTGAGGGGACTCCAAAGGAATCGCATGAGTGTATACAAAAAGGAATAAACTTCAACAGAAGAGTTATACAACACAATGACATACAGGGGTGCAGATTGCAAGGCAGAGTCCATGCAATCAAATCCAATGTAAACCAGGGATGGCCAGGGTCAAAACACACTTCCCACAGAAATCTTCTCAGCTCGTCAAAGGAATTTCCAATGGATTCTATTTTACTAGACGATGCCCATATAAATAATAAGCAAGCAAATACAAGCCGCTTAACCTATGTTACTACTAATGTGGACACTCGGGGGCTAGATCATGGTGATCTGATTTCCCAACATCTCTCCCTCACATGTTCCCAACAGAGGCAGAAGGAGTATATATTTTACATGCAATTTTAGTAAATCAAATATTTAGGGAGCCAAAAGTATGTGTGTGTGTGTGTGTGTGTGCCTGTCCACGTACACACACACACACACTCACACACACACACGACCCCTAAACCATTCAGATATAAAAAGGCACTTTATTTATTTAAGAGAGAGCCCTCACTCCCAAGTGCCGACAGACACAGCGAGGGGAGGCCAGCACTGGGAACTCAACCCATGGTCTTCCAGGTGGGCGGTAAGGACCCAAGAACCTGAGCCAAAACCTTCCACCGCCCAGGGTCTGAATGAGGAGAATCAGAAACTGGGATGGAGCCCAAGTGGACCCAGGGTATCCTGACCAGTCGCTCTCTAGGCCAAGCCTGCCCCTAGCCGAAGTTTTAGTCGTCCCCATTCAAATGCACACCTCCGAAGAAGCTGGATCCATGTAGACGAAGCGCACCTTGCTGGAAACGCCGGCTCTGCCGCTCTCAGACTAGGAGGTGAAGGTCTCTAAATGGAGCAAGAACACAGTAGGGGGAGACAAAATCTGCAAGGGAAAGGGTGCAGGCTGGTGCTGCCTCACACCGGACAGCAAAATGTAAGGGAAAGAGGCGCAGAGAGGAGGCAGGGTACGGATGTATAGCAAGACTGAATTATTCAGAGGAAGTAAATCCGCAGAGGTGGGTGACCAATGGCCGTCATGCACACAGACCCCAAGGGCCCGGCCCCTTTATAGCTTAGGTGGGATGAGGGTAGGGGGCGGCAGGCAGCGGGGTGAATTCCTCCATATTGGTCTTTCAAGTGGCCCAAGGGCCTCCAAACCCAGGGAAGAATGAGCGGGTGGGATGTAAAGACATCAGATTGTGAGACAGAATTGAGATTCAAGGACAAGCAATAAATTCCGATATTACCTCTCTTTTGGGCAATGAGCGAGAGTGGCCGAGGCTTATGTCTTTGTCCCATCAAGATAGACCAGCTCCCCTATGGTCAAACCAAGAACCCAACAGTTAGCAGAGGACCGAGAGGAAGACGGCCAGGCCACTTTTCCCGGGAGAGGGTGAGCACCGAGCAGGCACCCGGCCAGCTCAGCCTGCAGAGAGAGCGGAGAAGGGCGCAGAGCCGGGACGCGCAGAGGGGACAGGCCGGCTGCGGGCTCTGACTTTCCCGACTTGCGGGTGTCAGCACCTGGACACGCGCCGCTCCCCCCACCCACTCCCTAACCCCCGCTGCCCTTCCTCGAGATAGGGAGGAGATGGAACAGGTATCGGGACGCAGGCGGCCGGCTTATCTGATAGCGTCGCTCTCCCCAGCGCATAGCCCCTGCTGGCCACCCCCACCCCGCACCCGAGTACCCAGCTGGGGCCCAAGCCAAACAGCCTCCCGCCGCAGGTGCAGCTCCGGGGAAAGCCGAGAGCCCGACTGGTCAGCTGCGCCGGAGGGCGTCTGCCGCGGGGCCGGGGCTGCGGGGAGCCGCGAGCCGCGCACGCCCTCTGCTGGCCTGGGCTGCACCTTGCGCGCCGAGCTCGGAGCGCTCGGCGACCCTGGGGTCCCCCGCGCCGTCGCGACTGCAGGATCCGTGCCTCTGCGGCGGTTGGAATTGGCGCCAGTTGAAGAGATCCACACTCTCAGCCCCTTCCGAATCCTGCGTCCGATAAGAGCAGAGCCAACAGGAGGGGATACTGGAGCCCCCCGTGCCGCCCCAGGTGCCCTCCCAGATGGCCTGAGAACCCAGGGCCGCCAACAGCCTAGTTTGCTCGGAGTTCATGAATTCCGAGGGCGCCAGGGCCACTTAGAGCATTGCTGGGCACCCAGCGGGATGCCGGAGTGCGGGGGTGGGAGGGGGTTGGGAGGAGCGCCAGCCTAGCTAATTTGACAAAGAAGAGCTAATCTGCTTTTTAAAACAAAACATTAAAATGTTTCTCTTTCTGCTGTCTTTGCCCTACCTCTCTTCCTGTACTGCATCTAGGGAGGCAAGAGTTTTAAGTTAGAAACAGTAAAATTGTGGCCGGTCCCGGGGCTCACTTGGTTAATCCTCTGCCTGTGGCGCTGGCACAACAGGTTCTAGTCCCAGTCGGGGCACCGGGTTCTAGTCCCGGTTGCTCCTCTTCCAGTCCAGCTCTCTGCTATGGCCTGGGAGTGCAGTGGAAGATGGCCTAAGTGCTCGGGCCCTGCACCCGCATTGGAGACCAGGAGGAAGCACCTGGCTCTTGCCTTCGGACACAGCCGCCATTTGGGGGTGAACCAACGGAAGGAAGACCTTTCTCTCTGTCTCTCAAAAAAAAAAAAAAAAAAAAGAAGAAGAAGAGAAACAGTAAAATTGTATCATAAAAACAAGAAAACAAACCAGGCCTTGCATCTTCACATGACGACTATTAAGGCTTATGGGCGGTTGTGTGATTGGTAACATAGTTAGCTTTTTCTTTTCTTTTCTCTCTCTCTCTCTCTCTCTCTCTCTTTTTAATTTTAGATTAAGAGGCAGAGAAGTAGATAGAGAGATGGACAGTGAGACCTCTCATCTGCCGGCTCCCTCCCCAAATGGCCACAACAGATGGAGTGGTGCAGAACCAGAGGTGACAGCCGAGAGCCCTCCCGGAGTCTCCCACGTGGGTGTCACAGACCCAGCTACTAGAGCTGCGGCTGCTGCCCCTCAGGGTGTGTGTGAGCAGGAAGCTTGAATCAGAAATGGAGCTGGAAAGACCTTTTTCTTTTTCTAAAGATGTATTTTTTAAGTATTTGAAAGGCAGGGTTATAGACAGAGAGAGGGAGAGAGAGACAGAGAGGTCTTCCATCCGCTGGTTCACTCCCCAAATGGCTGCCACGACCAGGGCTGGGCCAGACCAAAGCCAGGAGCCAGGAGCTTCTTCCGGGTCTCCCACGCAGGTGCAGGAGCCCAAGCACTTGGGCCATCTTCCACTGCTTTCCCAGGTGAGCTGGATCAGAAACGGGGCAGCCAGGACTGGACTGCCTCAGGCTGCTCTGCCCTCCCTGGACTCACCCGCAGTGCCAAGAATGTAAGGGGCTCTTGACTGAACTCAGAGCCAGTCCAGGGTCCAGCCATTTTGCCCACAGCTGGGACAACCCTTCCCTGGAGAGAGCACAGGAAAAACCGAGCACCCACACTGCATGGGGCATCGTGAGCTCTCATCCCTTTTGTGGCCAGGCCTCTAGAACACTTTGGAAAAGGACAGCCAGGGCCTCGGTACCACCATGTCTCCTTTGTCCCTACAGGGGAAAAACTATTGCTTTCGCCAGGGGAACCCGAATCATCAGAGAAGAGGCATGGCGCGACCACATGACATGCTGGAGTGTATCTCAGCTTATGACCCTACTTTCTCAACCAGGTGCTGTGTGTTTCTGGAGGAACTTGGAAGCTCACCAACTGACGGAAACCAGTGACCCACAAGGTGGCACGGCCGCCCCTAATGCAGGTTGGATGCAGGGTGCAGAGGAGTTCCACACAGCGTGGGCCTGTCCAGAACAGCGTGGGGTGTAGCACCCAGAAGAGGAGGCGGACAGAAGAACTGTGGAGACCTGAGATAGAAGCAGAGGGAACTTGCACATCGGTGTGGTGCCCCCCAGTAGCCCTGCAGGGCGTCGCTGGATCAGAGAGCCCCAAAGGGCCACAGCGGTCTTTGGGGCTGGAGTTCTTCCTAACTACCCCTAGCGGATAGTGGATGCTGTTCCCAGGGAATATAAAGCAGGCAGGTTCTAAGTGGCCCAGAGTGTGCTTCTTTGGGCTGTGTTGAAAACAATTGGATGTGTAGTTTTGACTTTGGTGTTGGCGGGTTTTTGAGCTAACAAGTCCCTGGTTACAGGCCCATGCAAAAGGGTCACTTTGAGATCATTGATATAGCAAGCACCCTAACTCTAGATGGGAATCAGCTCCAAACACTCAGCAAATGCACACCCCACCAGGCCCAGACTGGAGCCCAAATCTCTCCCAGGCCTGTGCACATCCAACTTGTGATGCGGGGGTTTTAATCTGAGGGTCCACGTTGAATGAATGAAGATTGACACAAGGAATAATGTGTACCTGTACCTCAGCATCCCTTCATCAGCACAAAAAGAAGAGAAACCTGACACTCAGACCAGAAGTTACGCACACACACACACTCACACGCACACACTCATACATACATGCACGCACACTCACACACACTCATATACTCACACACACTCATACACTCACACACACACACACTCACACACAAAGGATGGGAGAAAATTAAGCGTGGAAATGTGAGAGGGAGGAGATCACTTAGTTCCTAAATCTGCATGTGTGGAATACATGAAACTTGTATAACTTAAATAAACTTATTTTAGGCCGGCGCCGCGGCTCACTAGGCTAATCCTCCACCTTGCGGCGCCAGCACACCGGGTTCTAGTCCCGGTCGGGGCGCCGGATTCTGTCCCGGTTGCCCCTCTTCCAAGCCAGCTCTCTGCTGTGGCCAGGGAGTGCAGTGGAGGATGGCCCAAGTGCTTGGGCCCTGCACCCCATGGGAGACCAGGAGAAGTACCTGGCTCCTGCCATCGGATCAGCACGGTCCGCCGGCCGCAGCATGCCAGCAGCGGCCATTGGAGGGTGAACCAACGGCAAAAGGAAGACCTTTCTCTCTGTCTCTCTCTCTCATTGTCCACTCTGCCTGTCAAAAAAATAAATAAATAAACTTATTTTAAAAATGGATGGGAGGATATTTCAAGTAGAAAAAGTCAGTGGTGATCGAATAGGTGTTGTCCCCAGTGTCTAGTTGTCATGGAGTGAATTAACTTCACCAGCAGGTGGCCCTGTTACATTAACCATTAGAGAGAATTCCTCTACCAACATAGGGACCTCAAAGAGGAAGGATTTTTAAGTCCTTTGTGTCCTGATCACTTGCTCTGATAAGCAGTTTGTAATCCTAGACATCTATATTGAGTAAACTACCTAAAACCCATTCACAATGCACTCTATCAGATACCTCCAAGCATCTTAGGAAATTCTGCATAGCTGGATCAATTTCACATAATGTACCCATAAACAAAATCTAGTTACCAGACAGCTACCCATTTCTGCTCTATAGGACATGAAATAAGGAAGAGAACTGTCACCCATTCTGTATTGACATAATCCTACAGAAAAGGTTTTATACACACACAAGGATACTTTAAACCATTAAAATAAAAAATAATGTGATAAATAAAAGATAATGTGAATTTTCTGTGAATTAAAAAATATTTATTCAGTTAGTTATTTGAGAGGCAGAGATGGGGCAGTTGAGGAGAGAGAGAGAGAGATCACGTCATCTGGCACTCCCCAAATGCCGGACACAGCTGGGGCTGGGCCAGGCTGAAGTCGGAAGTGAGGAACTCAACCCAGATCTCCCACCTGGGTGTCAGGATCCAACTCCTGACTAGAGTCAGGAGCCCGAGCTGGGTATCTTACCCACATATTGGAATTATGGGATGTGGGCATCCCAAGTGGCAACTTTACCGCTTATACCAAATGTCAACCTTGACAAGCATTCATTGGGTGGACTGTTTTAGTGCAACAGGTGACAGCAGACAAAAAAATCTTTGTTTTCATGGACCTCATATAAAATGTATTTTCAGCTTATATATTACTATATAAAAATGATATGTTTACATATTTCTATATAAAAATAATGTTTTGATATACCTCAATCCACTTCAGAAGACATAGCTACCATGTTGCATTGAGCATTTTTTTTTGGAGAAGCTTAAAGGCAAGACAGAGAAATTTGTATTTGTAGTAGTTCCCCTCCCTATGGGGACATGTTCCAAGACACCAGTATATGCCCGAAACCACAGATAGCACCAAACTCTGCTTATACTGTTTTTCCTATTCATGTATACTTAGGATACATTTAATTCATGAAGTGGGCATAGTAAGAAAAACTAGAGCCATTATAATGATATACCATAACAAAATTTATTTAACACTTATGAAATTTTCAGACTGCAATTGGTTACTGGTAAGTGAAACCAAGATGTGCAAAACTCACAGGGTGAGGGGAGACTACTATGATTGGAGATGAAATTGGGTGTCCTTGGAAGGTTTTAGAGAGGAGAATGCCATCCTCACTCCACAACAGTAACGCGTAGTTGGCCTTCCTGGTGTTTTCTAACTTTCACTGGGCTCCTCTCCAATGTTACTTTCTTCTCACTGTGACACTTACTGAGATTTGTCACATTTCTGAGAGTCCCAGATTTTATAGATAGATATAGATTTAGATAGAAATAGATATAGATTGGATATAGAAATAGATATAGTATATAGTATAGACATAGATATAAATATAGATTAGATATAGACATAGTTATAGTATAGATATAGATACAGATACAGATATAGATATAGTATATAGTATAGATAGATAGATATAGAAACAGATATAGATGTAGATTGGATGTA